GGCGGCGCCCGACAGCAGCTGGAGGAGCGGTTCGCCGACCTGGCCGCGAGCCACCTGGAGGCCCTCCGCGCGCGGGACGAGCGGGACCGGCAGAACGCGCGGCTGCGCGAGGAGAACGCCCGGCTGCGGCTGGAGAACCGGCGGCTGAAGCGCGAGAACCGCAGCCTCTTCCGTCAGGCCTTGCGGCTCCCCGGCGAGGGCGGCGACGGGGCGCCCGCGGGCCCCGAGGAGGCCGGCACGAACCGGAGGGCGAGAGGCGGCGGCCCCGAGGACGAGCCGGGCAGCCCCCGGGCCCTGCGGGCTCGGCTGGAGAAGCTGGAGGCCATGTACCGCCGAGCCCTGCTGCAGCTGCATCTCGAGCAGCGGGGGCCGCGTCCGCACGGGGACAAGGAAGAGCCGCCTCCGCACGAACCCGACTCGGGCCTCCGAGCCCCGGCCCCGGAGCCCCCCGAGCCCTGGCTGTAGCCCGAGGCCGCGGTCGGGGAGGGGCGGGGCCTCGCGCGGCCACGCCCACTCCGTTCGCCGCTCCCCCCAGCTAGCGCCCGCCCCGGGCCGCGCGCCGCCGCGGAAGCTCGGAACCGCTGTGCCGCCCGCCTCCTGTGCGCCACCGGGCACTTCCGGGGTCGCTTTGCGCTCAGCCGCCCGAGGTTGAGCCGGCTGCGGGGCCCCCCCGCGGTCCCCACGTGGACAGAGCACCTGCTTCCTGCGCCTGCTGGTTTCCATGGAGACACGCCTAGCAACGGAGAGGCGGGTTTTAAAACAGCGAGAAAGGGGTGCCAGTCAGCACCTCCTAATGCTTGAACTTTTCTCGGTGTTGTGAGAGCCTGCTGTATTTTTTCCTCTGTTTCGGTTCTTTGAGGGATGGATAATGCATTTTGAGTTGGTTGAGTTTGTTGCTCATTCTGCAGTCCCCTAAAGCCTCCACTTGTTATCTCTTTTGTGGCCAACGTTCTAAGTGTTTTTTTTATAAGTCGATATTACTTGGATATCCTATAAAGTACCACCTTTTTATTAAAAAGGTGATATTTATAACTTAGGAACTCGTGTCTCCCTTGGCTCTGGTCTTTATACATCTAATGTATCTAATTTGTTTAGCCCCTCGGGATTATTAAGAATCTGCTTATGAGAGATCCTTTGAGTTGGTAAATAAATCGGGTGCATTAAATAAGCTAAAAACATCCCACGACCATTATTTGAAGTGTGTTAAATTTGTACACGTTTGTTTAAGAAATATGCATGTATGTATATATTTTGCATATTTTAATATCTGACGTTGGTTATCCTTTGTAAGCTATCATTTTCTTTTTGCTTTATGTAACAGTGATCGTTTTAAATAATCTAAAGATTAGGTAGTCTAAACATTTTTTTTTTTTACGTTTTAGATGACATTAGAAAATAGTAGCTGAGCAATTGTTTTGACTGTTTACGAATTTTTAAGAAATTATTATTTGTATATCAAATGCCCCAAAACAAAATGATTTAAGTCTTAATTGTGATTTCAATGGCAACAAAAGAATTGTGATGTAATTAAAATTACTCTATCGCATTTTGTTAATGGATAACGCTTTAGCTGCTAAGTAGAGAAGAGGATACCGTTGTACTTGATAGGAATCATGTGTGTCAGAGAGTGTTTCAGTGATAAACACTTCAAGAAAAAAAAATCATGGGAAGAGTTTTTGTTAGAGCTAGAAAAAAAGTCATGAGTTAGAGTTTTTGTTTTATTTGTGTCATATTCTGAAAGTTTCAAACGTATACCGTATTTTACACAACGAAGTGCCAAGGAAAATAGTTTTGTGATTTTTCTAGTCTTGGGTTTTGAAAGCCTCTGGACTTTAAACTTTTGTTTAAAGGTGGTTGATATTTAATTGTGAATATTAAAATCTTCCCCTATGACTGAAAAATATTAGAAGAAACTTGGTGAGACTAGATGGGTATATCAAAAGTATTTCTATTACCTTTGCTTCGTTTTTTAATAGTGAAAGAAAGAAAACATCTTTAGGAGGCAGTAGGAATTTAAGAATAGGAAAAAAAGCATATCAGCCCTACTAGCTACTTAACTATAACTTTGGGTTTAAATTAGTTAATCTCTCTCAGCGTTAGTTTTTTCCTCATTAAAATGAACATCTACCTCAAAATGTGATAAAAATTTTATTGAGATGCTATATGCAAAATGCCTGCTTCAGAGTGCTCTATCAATAAGAATTACAATCCAAAACGTGAAAGTCATAAATGCATATTTTACTGACGCTTTCCCTTGCTGTCTGTATTTTGTTCCCATGTGACTTTATGAATATTAGCAGAGATATGTATATTTTGAATGAGTTGACATTTTTCATTCCTTATAAGCAAATAGAGCAGCTAAAGCCCTATATAATAAGGGAGTAATGCAACAAAATGTTCAAAAATATTTGCCAATTGTGACAAAATTGGGAATATTCTGCAACCAAGCAAATTATTTAGTTTATGTAGTTTTTAAACACCGTTTGTCTTAAAATCATGTATGATGTATGGTGAAAAAAATTCTGAAAAGTAATGAGGTACACACAGCACAAATGGGGACTACTTTTGAGCATAATTCCTGAAAAGTGTTAAAAATTCTGAAACCAAAATGCCCCATAAGATGGGTTAAGGCTAATATAAATTTCAACCTTGTTGAATTTCCCTGCTGATAACTGATAAAGCATTATGTAGTAATATAAAAGATGTTCTGTTATATCAAAATAAGTACCTATTTCAGAAATGGGTAAGTTGATTTCAGAAAAGTTTGAGCTAGGATCTAGTTTGATCTAAAATAAGCTAAACCTGCAGATTATCATATGTTGTTACAATAACATTTTATTTTCATAATTACAGATTTGTTCTGCAATGACAAGAGGGCTTATAATTTATAGAAATGAACAATAAAAATATGTGTTGTGTTAGCAAACAAATTCAGTGAGGAGGATTGGCCTTTTTTTAAATCAGCATTTTTATGGCTGCTACTCACAAAAATATACTTTATCAGGCCAGCCCTGGTGGTCTAGTGGTTAAGTTCAGCATGCTCTGCTTCGAAGGCCCGTGTTTGCTTCCCAGGCATAGACCTATACCACTCATCTGTCAGTGGCCATGCTGTGGTGGCAGCTCACATACGAAAAGAGGAAGATTGGCACCGGGTGCTAGCTCAGGGAAAATCTTCCTCAGCAAAAAAAAATAATAATAAAATTAAATAAACATAGATTATTAAAAATATACATATGCTTTATCTTTTTTTCTATATGTTGGGATATCAAGCAAAGCAGTACAAAATGAGTACTTATGTAGAACATAGAACAAGCCAAGTCCACGCTAAACTTCTTGAACATTATAAATATTTGAAGAATACTTGAAAATGTTCTTGTCTTGTTTAAATAGTCTTAGACATAGGTTTGCAAATTCATAAGTATGGCCACAATGAAACTAATAAGAAATTATTTAATAAATTGAATTATCAATATATACTAAATAATTAATAGCAGCATGATTTTGATTCCAATGCCAAAATACCATTTTTTTATTTTGCTAAAAGGAGCAGATTTTCACTGAGAATTTGTCACAAAATCTTCATGAATGAATGACAAATTTATTAATATTTCTGTTTAGTGATTAATTGATCAATTATAAATTCTGACTTCTGTAAACTTTCTTTTTTGATATATATCTTATCTACCTGATATAGACAGTATATAAATATACTTATGCAATGGAAATATGAATAAGGAAAGCACTTAGTTAACACCCATATCTGACTTTATAAAGATTAATCATGCTCAAATTTCAAGTAAAGCTTAAACTAAGATTAGCGTGTCACAATGATCAGAATTAAACTACATTGTTTTTAATCCATAGCAGATTTTGCTTATTATAAAATTCATTTTCAGAATCTACTTGTCATTATAGTCTTTGTGTATTTCATGATAATTTATAATTTCATTATAATTTATTATTATAAAAAGGAAATTCTTTTTTAGAGAAAATTTGAGAAAAGAAAACAGTGAGTTTGTTGATGCTTAATTCTTGTCTGAATGATAAGCATTCTATTCTAAAATTTGAGTTCTTTGAGGGAGGAATCTGAGTAACAATCTCATGTCTCACACTTAGGACTGATAAAGGTTTTCCTTGGCCTTTTATTTTTCCAGGTCTCCTCACTTTATCTTTGATTTTATTATTTTAAACATATAACGTCTGTTGTATTTTAAACTTAATGGATCTGCTTTTAGTTATGGTGAAGACTGTTGTTAATAACCAAGAAACCCAACAAGTCAGTGACTATTAAAAACAATGAAGATTTTTTATCTGGTGCATAAAATTCTTGATTCCAGTCCTTCAGGCTGTCAGGAAGCTCTGCTCCACATGGTTATCCAGGGTCTCAGATTCTTTTCATCCTGTTCCTCTGCCTTGCCCTAGGTCGTTGTTGCATCTGCATGGTAGAAATAGGTTCCTTCCAGAAACAGGTTTCAGCATATGGGAAAGGAAAAGAGAGGCCTAGCCAGATCTGAAAATGACATAAATTCCTCTATAATACTCCATTAGTAACACTTCATCACATGACCCATTTAACTTTAAAGGAGGCTGCGAAATAATAGTCAAGCAGTAGAGTCTTGCCTGGCTATAATGTCATTATTACGGAGGAATAGGAGAACCATTTTGGTGGACAACCATCTTTTTTTTTTTTTTGTGGTGAGGAAGATCAGCCCTGAGCTAACATCTTATGCCAATCCTCTTTTTTCTGAGGAAGATTGGCCCTGGGCTAACAGTTGTGCCCATCTTCCTCTACTTTATATGGGACGCCGCCACAGCATGGCTTGATAAGCAGTGCCTCGGTGCATGCCTGGGATCCGAACCTGGGAACCGCAGGCCACCACAGTGGAGTGCGCACGCTCAATCACTGCACCACCAGGCCAGCCCCCCGTGGACAGCCATCTTAACGGAAGCTACCATCTACTTAAAATTTTCAAGAATTTATATGTCCCCCTGTAGCATTTTTGAAACTACGTAACTTAGTTTAAAGTATAAATATAATGGGATTGCTTTATAGATTGAAAAAAATTTGACCTTTTCATTCCTCTATGTACTGTCTTTATGAGTGCAAAACATAAGATACTGCTTGAAATAAGCAAGGGAAAATAGCTATTAAATTTTATATAGGAAATCCCTATAAAGTATGAACCATCTCTCAGAAGCGTATGTCATAAAAAATATGGTTTTAAGAGCCTATACTTGGTAAACATTGTTCTATTTCATATGTAAATCTACATTTATAACTTGAGGAGGAAATGTTTTCTGCTCATCTTGTTTCTTATATACTAGCATTTTCCAACTTTTAGAGCTGAAAGAGCCCTTCGAGGGTTTTAGCCCAGTATCCTTCAGCCTTTTTTGCCAACAACTTAATGGCTTTCACAGGGAACTATGTATATTTCATTCTCCGTAACTTAGACTATGCTCATGTAAATTCTAGGTAGTATTACTCTCTTCTGTTTATGAATGAGGAAACTGATGGACAA